TGTTACCGAGTGTTCCTCTAGAGGAAATGGTAAATTCAGAGAAGGAGTCAAGCATTTTCTTAAAGAACCTTAAGTGCCTACGCGCGTCCATCCAAATATTTTTCACTGTACTTACGGGATCTTGTGCTTCATCCGCGAAATTGAGACATAAAGACGTATTTTTCCGAGTTCGGCGTTGCAATGGAATACGCAGATATCACGAAGCGTGGCGCTTCAATTCTGCTGTTGCAAGTTTTGCAACTTTCTCAGAGTTAGACCAGCGGAGACGAAGAGCTAGAATAAAGCTGAGAATTACTTGATCGACAAGTGCCATTGGAAATCCTAGCATTTTTCCAGGTTGAATCTAAGGCCAAGGCTATTCGCTGCGTTTTCGAGTGAGTCCAGTAATGCTTGTAAGCTAACTATATCTTTGCCAAAACTAGTAATTTCGTCAGCATGCCAGAACAGCTACTCTCGCAACATTAATCACATGCCCCTAGATGTTTCCTGGGTATTGGCTGACCTAAAGACGGGCTTTTGAACAGCAAACGGAAAATGGATCGCTTTGTCTAACACCTGCCATCAGAGAAATCTCATCTGAGATGCCGACATTGGTCCTAGTCTTAATTCTGTTACCAGTGTACATATTTTAGCTATTTCCACGGTATTTAAAAGTGTTCTGAAGTGTGGGAGAGAGTCTGATTGAGGACCGATTCGTGGGTGACATTCTGTGGCGAGCTCTCTATTTTTCATTTCGGCGTCCAGTATAATGGCCTGGATGATGTAAACATGCTCAACTCAATCTTCCATCCCATGGAACCTTTTCTAGATATTCCTATCGATGATCCATTATCTGAGCCTGTCGCTTAGAACTCCACAATATGGTTTCATTATAGCATTACTAATTACTGCCGGTTTCCAGTTTTTGGGTCTTCCAAATCACCTGCTTTATGCATTAGAATTCAATTGCCTTCCTTCCACTCTTGCGGGATGGTCTGGTAGCGTTGATAGGCGTTCACGACTTCTGTCATGATAATTGAGCCAGCATCTTCCTTTTTGGGCATATCATAAGTCACTTTGTCTGGTCCTGGTGTACAAACGTGTTCATCCATGAGGGCTTAAGTTAAATTCCCTGCTTTTTGAAGGGACTGGCAAATGTCAGGTCAGAACTGTCAAAAATAATGCAAGGCATGTTCTTAAGTTCCGGGAATGTACCAGTCTTTGAGGCGTATCTGACCTTAAAAACTTACTCTAGGACTGATATAGAAAAAAGTAAGTTGGGAAACTTATTCTCAGCTAATATACGACCTGCTTCTTAAGATATTTTGCTACTTCTGTACTTCACTGCTACTGAGGTCTTCCATTTGTTTCTGCCTTGGTGTATTCATTTTGGGTTTTTGCTTGCTGGAGGATATACTGATTTTAAATTGTTCTGTATGTCTACTGTCATGTCCATGCAGTTGCCGCGGGTCCTTTTCATTTGAGTTAGTGGGAATCACCATTGAGGAGGTCGACTAGGTTTCTTTTGGCGAAGCGAAGTTACGAGATGAGTCATTTTTGCGTAGATCAGCATCCTAGGTACTTGCCACATCTTAAAGGGCATACCATGGTTTGTGACGGTGGAACTGTAACTCGATTTGAGTCATAATTGCCCTCAGACGCAAGCTCAGGCTGTCTTCTTGTCACTACATACTGTGCACCTAATTGTTCAAAACTGATTTCACACTCCTGCATGACTACCTCACGTTGGCTTAACAACATCCTCACAGGTAACAGGAATTTTAGCATTACTTGCAGGTACTTCGCCCATTTGGGAACTTGGACTCTTCCTCCTTCTGGAGGCCTTTTGCATCGAGGGCGATGTCTGGCAAAGTTTGTCCTGTTGTTTGTCGAACGGCTGACCCGCAATTCCTGTTGTCCTGGTGGCAGTTGTTCTGGAGTTCGAAGGGACTACAGTTTCCATAGTTGGACAAATCGTGGATTAAATCGTTGACGATCGCAAGACCAGTCGAAGTTCAGTTTAAACCTGAGTTAGAGCAACATATTTCATAAACAGGTGGTTGAACGATTGTACGTCGGTCGGGCATCGAACACAGAAGATGATAGAATCTTTATTGCCAACGCGTTTCGCTCCCTGCGCACTGTAGCATCATCAGAGCTATGAACATATGGCTGCAACGTTCTTATTAACTAGCTTTGTTCTGCTGCTGAACAAACTGAAATTTAAAGTTCTGTTCCTTACTCTAAACTTGAAGTTCCATTCAAGCAATAAACTAAGCCTAAATTAACTATACCAATAACAATTGCAGAAACGACGATGCATTTCTCTTCTGTTCGCAAATTGTCGAGTTGTAATAAAAGTCTATCAAAGACTGGTGTCAATCACGCAGAAATAATGTCTAATTTTTTGCCTACCACAAAGCGAATAATTAAAAGCAATGCGAAGATCACGTCATAGCAAAGATCACCCAGATTTTTTATGGAAAATTGCGAAAACCCGAGAATAGGATCCACAAAACCTTTCGCCGTGAAAAACCATAGGTTACACACAGGTACTGAAGCCCCAAACAGTAGTATTAAGAAACAACACCTGCTCTCCATTTACGAAGCTTAGTCAGGTTCGTGAACGTTTGTCAGAGATCACAAGCACCAAGATCATAATATTGTACATTACAAGTTCTGCGCACACTATGGTGCCAGCAAATAATACGGCGTCACTGAAGCCGGGCGACGTGCACAGGTCGCTGGCGACGGCATCCCGCATTTCCGGATGCAGCTTTTTCATTTCTGATACACAGCGCCTCAGGTCTCCAGTCCCTACCCATTCATTACCTGCTTGACTCTCAGAATCTGTGCTTTGATCATCTAAAGTTTCCAAAAATTCATCAATGTGTGGTGTATCTGTGGAGGTTGTCACTACATATTCCTCGTTCCCACTTGCTGATGAATTCTGCGACAAACTTGGCCTTGGCAACCGTTCCGCATTACCATGTGCGCTGATTGGCTGAGCTGGTAGATACGTGGTTTTCTTCATGATTGACATCGGACGAACGGAATGTTCTGTCCACTTAGCTAGCGGACTGATGTCCATAGCTGCATGGTCTTTCGTTGTTTCGAAGTTTCCAAGCGCTGGCATCTGATGCCTTTCATATTTGTGAATCGAATTCGAAGCGCCTCGAGAATAAATATAAGCTTCTTTGCCACTGGTTGTGATTCTCTGTGCTTCACCAAGCGCAATTAAAGACCGACTTATCTCGACGCGAGATTTCGAAGCCTTGGATTCATCAGCCGGTACTTTCTGCCCTGGCAGGCTTTTGCCCACAGGGATGGCAAGAGCTTCAATTAAGCAAGAAACGAAGAGTAGCGCCCTCAAAGAGAGAAACATCTTATGCCAAACGGAATAAAAGCCCTTGTCGCGACTATAATCGAATTAACCCAGCTACCGTCCAACGCACCGTACGGCACAGCAGTTCGTTTAATCCTGATGCTCTTTGGTTTCCGCTTTTTGTTTAAATATTTGTTTAAAAGTGAATCAGATCAACTTTACACTTACTATTAAATATTTTAGTAATAAGAGCTGAATTCCAGTGCGTCTAGCTACTGGCTATCTGAAGTGTCCTCCGGATGCGGGTAGAGGAACGATCTCCAGATATGGGCGTGGCTGCGACAAATAAGGAGTGGCGGACAGACAGACGTGCGAGAAACACTGAGTGGCTGGGTTCGGGGTAGACACGTTCGATCCATAAAGCTAAAGTCACAACGCCCAATTATAGTCTCACATCGAGACGAAAGAGACATCCGCCCCTTTGAAGAAAAAGGGCCACCAATATCATTGTTGGCTTCCAGCAAGATGTCAGCTCATCGAAAACTTGAAAAGACAACTTCAGTAACAAATCAGACGGAATTAGGGAACCCCCAGATCACTGTCAATAAACTCTGCAAAAGTTGGCTAAACTTAATGCACTATTACAACATATGGGCCCGCTCGTCTTTGAACCCGTTCCACAGGTACGATTAGGTGTCACACTGGCGAGAAGCTGCTAAGAATTCCAGGTGACAGGGAGTCATCTGAAAAACGGATCCGAACTTCCGACACCGTTTGCACCTGCAACTATGAAACACTGACGAGGGAAAAATGTTAAGTCAGCTAATGGAGGAAATGCCAGGGATGGCCTACAGTATCCTTGTGCTCGGTGAGATACGACAGCGGACGAGATGAATTGTATCCAGAAGGACAGTGAGATGGCGCGAAGAACATGGTAGGAGTCGAATTCGTAGTCAACGGAAGCTGATGCTCGAAGATCACCTCCAGACACATGAAGTCACCAAGATTACGCATGC